CACTGCTCACAAGAAAAACTTAACAACAAGCCATCATTTTCAAAAGGCAATTTGGCAATAAAATAGATAGGTTAACTGAGAACAAGAGAATGGGAAAATACTCAGGTAATAATGAGCTATTAACATTTTGTATTGTGCATGATGTGTGTGTGTTTTAATGGGTAATATGATCAGAAGAATAGTGCTCAAAACATCATTTTGATTATAGTGTATAAGATGTCTTGGGGAGGGTCGTCACTATGGTTGAGACCAGTTGCTACTGAAATAGCCCAGATTTGAGGACACAGAGGATTAAACCTGAGTGATAGTGATAGGAATGAAAAATCAGACATGGACTTGTGAGATACTTAGAAGGAAGAGTAAATAAGAACTGGTAAATGATTGGATGGAGGGATGGGGCAAGTCAAAGACTATTTTTAAGCTTAGGGAACTGGAAAAATAACAATACAATAAAAATAAACTGAATTATGAATTCCCCAGGGTTATCCAGAGTTACCCAGTCTGGGGAGAAGAATGAGGGAATAAGTAGAAAGAGACATAATAATTATAAGGATTTGGCTGGTAACTCAAATAAAATATCCAATAGTCAGTTACAAGATTGTGACTGCAATTTGTGATGACCATGGGTCTCTTGCGGACCAAGACTATTTGTCATTCTTCTTTGAATTCCCCAGCACCTAGCACAGGGCTGGGCACATAGATTATGCTCATTAAGTCTGTCTGGCTGGCTGGCTGACTGACTGCATAGAGATTTAGGGGCCAACTTCACAAAGAAAATAATTAAGTTGTGAGTGTGGACAAATAGAACCTTCAAGGGTAGGGTACAAAAAAGGAACTAAGAGGACAAAGTCTTGAGAAATAAATATATTGAAGGAACTGGAGGAAAAAAAGAAACCAATAATAGAGACAGGGAAGGTCAGGCAGAGAATTAAACCGAGAGAGAGAAACGGAACGGGAAGGGATGGAAAGGAATAAACAAGAATAGAATCAGAGGAGCCAGGAAAGAAGAGATGCTACTTATTCACAATTTGAATGCATTTATATATATAGAATTAAATAGAGAATACATGGATGCAAAAATTACAAAGTCACATTTAGTGAGCAAAAATGAAAATCATTAAAATGTTTCCTTAATAACGTAAAGTAAATAAATTAATAGCTCCTGTCACATTGATTCATCTATTGCATGTGGGTACTCAATAAATGTTAATTGAATTAAATTAATAACATTTGCTCAATGGTAATAAAAAATTAATTAACTGTCTGTCTTTTCTGTTACTTACGTTTATGCCCATTGGTTTCACAATTACTTCTAGCCCAAACATGAATTTTCTATTTCACTGACTTTCAAGATACACTTTAATTTTTTTCTTAAGAAATATACTTGAGCTTCTAATTTTTGTCCTAATTTTGGTGGTTTTTTTTCTGTTGAAAAAAATTATTTTCTCTAAGTTAATGTCAAGAACTATGTATAACATCCCAAATATAGTTTCACGAGTTCCCTATTTAATTCCAAAATAGTTTTCTCTGCAGAAGATGTGATTCCACTTTTCATGTGTTTCTCCTTTTAGCTTATGCTACTTTATAATACTTTGGGTATGATGTCAAATAACACCGCAAAAGAAGGAATCTGGGGAGATTATTGTTAGCATTCCATCTATAAAAGATGGAAGATGTCAGCAACATTCACCCAAAAACTGTGACTCACTTCAGATGTCAGAATTCTGGGTTGAACAGACTGGGTTCTGAAATGTGTGTATGTCAGATGATTTTCTAATGAGCAACAGATAGTTCCCACTGGGGAATGAAAAAAATAAAAATATAAACAGGGATATAGAATTAAAATAACTTTATGAATGGCAGTTTAACTTCTCCATAAAATCCTCTCAGTACAAGCTAGTTTCTCCAAATGGTTGCTTAATGTAGCATACCACTTACATTCAAAATGCTATACTTATAATTGTTGCAAAATTAAAAAGAGAATCATATACCACTTGGCTGTATACTATATTCTCTGCATGTTCTTACATTCCAGTAACCTCTATCCAACTTTTTTTTTTTTGCTACTGAATTACTGTGTGCAAAAGCAATTTAAATTACATGCAGCCTGACTACGTGTGATAATTTGAACTGATTGTTAATTAATTCTGTACGTAAATAGCCGCTGCAATCTCTACTCATCAAGGTTTCGTCATCTATCAGCTCTTTCTGAGCTGCTCTTTAATATACAGTATAAAGCAGCTGTGAATGAACAGCCTTTCCCCGAGGGTGCAAGAAGGTAGTCTTGGTTTGCAAAGACTGCTCAGGGAAAGACGCATCTGTAAAACTAAGCTATTTGCAAGGCTCGATTTTGGTAGGTGACATATCATTGGATTTAGGGTGAAGCGTGTTTTGCTGATGAGCAGTCTCAGCAGCTAGGAAGCAGAGATAAACCTAAGAACAAATCAAAGAAAATGTTGCGTAATATAAAGAGACCAGGATAAGAGCAAAGCTTTTGGAATCCACCAGGCCTGGGTTCAAATGTCAGTTCTAGCATTTACTAATGAGGAAGTCTTGGGCAAATTATCTAGGTAAACTATCTAAGCCTTGGTACCATCATTTATCTGTTAATTGGAGATATCAATTTATACATTTCCCATCTGTTCAAGGAGGCTGACAATATCTACCTCCTAGAGTCTTTGTAATACTTAAGTTAAATAAGGTATGTAAGTGGCAACACGGAACTTGACATTAAATGCATGCAACTACATATGTGTATGTGTGCATGTGTATAAAGAAGCAGTGGTTTGGTTTTCACTCTGGGTGATTTTGCCCCATAGCGGAAATTTGGCGATATCTACAGACATTTTTGTTTGTCATCACCCAGGGTGATGGGTGCTACTGGTATCTAGTAGGTAGAGGACAGGGATGCTGTTAAAGACCCTACAATCTCCCCATGACAAAGAATTATCTAGCCCAAAAAATCAATATTACTCTAAGTGTCCTAAGGCATTGAATGGCTGTATGCGATATTAGCTGGTTACTGGACACTTTGATACCCAAGTAAGAAAAATAAACTAATTATTGTTTTTATCATAATCATTATCATCATCATATCATTAATTTGGTAAATCTTTCTTGGGTTATAGGAAGCCTAGAGTTTCCCAATCTGCTGAGCTAATTCTATCTATTCAATATTATATTAATTGCCATCAACAATAGATATTTTCCTGAACCCCTATTTCTGCCAATCCTTTTTAGGGTGAGTCAAATCACAACTAAGAGATTGAAGGCCAGCAGCACAAGTGGTAGGGAATAAAAAGTAAACATTGTTGGAAGCCAAGGCTGTAGGCTCTGAAGAAAACAAAAATGGCCTAAGGCAACTGTGTGTGCCATACTGTTAGCTCCTGTGCCAGTCAGGAGCCTTCAGAGAGCAATTATCTCATGATTGGTTTCTGAAAATCACTGATGCACAGGTCAGGGGCTGTTCTCTCTCCTTCCTCCACTTTCAAAAGTAGAAGGCCCCTGTGGCAGTGGTGCCCAAATTTGTCTGCATGTTTGTATCACCTGGGGAGCTTCAAAAATCCCCTGGAATTGTGATCTACTCTGTTGGAGAGGGCTTCATAAGCTGTAAAAATAATTCCAAATTTTTAAAAAACTTACCAGGTGATTCTACTCTGCAGACAAGTCTGGAAACCACTGCCCTAAGAGGTGGGACCAAGTAGAGATTTCTATCTGCCCCAAACTAAGAAAAAACTTTTGAAATGACAATGAAAATGGACTTGGCAAGAATATATTTCTTGCACTGAGCTGTGTAAGCATGGTAAAATCAAACCAGGTTGCCAATGTTATTATTTATTTCAGGCACTCAATGAACACAATTGAATTAACCAGGCATTGCGCTAGCAATGAGAATGTAAATCTCCAGAATGCATCTTTACCATCTCCCAATAGTGCCGTCAAATCACCAGGACTGTTACTTGTTTAGGTCTTAAGATGTCCCTGGGAATCGGCCTGGGGCTGCATGTTTGAGAATACCTTCTATGAACACTTTTCTTGATCTTAGGACTCTGTTTAATGAATGTGGATAAGTTACAAACTAACTGCACCACTACCAAGTCTGGTTCTCTCTCTAACACGTTTTCATGGCATGCTTTCTTTTACACACTCCTCAATATTGTAACTTAAGTGGTTATTTCTCTGCTAACTTATTTCATGCTTGTGAAAGCCAGGGCCCATGCCTGTCTTAGTCATCACTGTATCCCCATTGCTGGGCCCGGTGCTTGTTATATAACAGACCCTCAATTACCATGTGGGAATGAATGAATACATACGGGAGTTCTAAAATACATGAAACACCTAGGTCTTCTCAGCCTTCTCTATACCTCTCCAAACCAGAATCTCAGACAAGGAGTTTGTTAGAGGTTCCCTGAACATCTCTAACAATTGTGCCAGGTGGGTATATGGAAATAAGGCATGTTCCCAAGAAGCATACTCCCAAAGCTTTAGACTATCACCTGAGTAGAGACCTAACCCATATCCTCTTTTCTTATGCAAGGGAGGAAACTGAGGTTTGTAGAAACAAAGAAATAAAACGACTTGATAGAGATCACACACGTTATTGAGCAGTACTTCCCAGCATTTCAGACTTTTTTATTGCTTCTCAGATCCATAATACCCTATGACAGAAAGCTGACAACATACTTCGAGAGTTTGTTGATCCAAGTGATAAATTCCTTGATTTGCTCCACCCATCACCAAGAAAACCCACAGTAGAAATAAGGGTTACATATTACTGTGATAGGTAAAACTCATGTGTAAAGTTTTGCAATTATTGCCCTCTTTTATTCTTATATTTTCATTCAAAATTATCCTACTCAATAATGCTTCATTCTTTTAAATAAGACTTCACTCTTATAAACGTCTAGAATGTGAAATTTTCTGCAAATGTCCATTCTTAGATCACTAGGTCATGTCAACTACAGTGAGTCTGTGTATGTGTGTTTTCTTTTTTCATCTAGATACGCAACTCACAAATGAAAAGCATGCAGACGAGAAACCCATTAATGCTATTGTTATAAATTCAGTATCCGAATTCAATATCACAGATGGACCAGCCAAAGAAACCCCCAGTGAGAAAAAACTGTCAGAATCCAGCACATCACTGTCCTCCCTTGAAGAATGCCAAACGAAATTTTCCTACCTCCAAACAGATACTTCAGTTCATCAGAGAGACACTGATGGTATGTTTCTCAGAATCAACCCATCTCTAAATAAAGCTCCTCAACCCCTAGCCCCTGTAAAATCATCACATATGCTGTTGGGGAAAAAAAAATTTTTTATGAATATTAAACAGGAAGACTTCGATTTGAAAACCCTGGTGAATGACACATGTCAAGGTCATTTTGCAATTATGAGGCGCTTGGCAGATTGTTTGCTCTCAAAGCTGGGAATCGGAGGCAAACTGTTTTTAAAAGCTGGGGTGAGGTGTAATCATTCTTGCTGTGGGGCTGTGAAGTGGATAAGGAAAAATGGCAAACTCCTTTCTCTTCTCAGATCTGGGACTACTCAGCCCATGACTCGAGGATGAGAGGAAGTAAAATCAGAGTGGAATGGTATTGAAATGCTGGAAATGTGTATATATAGACTGTATAAAATATCAAGATGCTTACATCAGCAACCTGTGTAAAAGTGTTGGTTCCTCTAGGTAATATCATTTCTTAGGCATTTTGATCAGTGCAAACCTACACCAAACCATCCCTGTATATGACATAAAAGGCATGTTCCATTTGCAAAGCCAGATTGATTTGGTGCTAAATGATGAGCACAGTCAAGTTCAAAGTCATGAACTCCACATCAAGACGTGGAATTTTATTCAGGTTAACTTTGCAGCGACTTTTACAGGAGACATAAACCATTCAAGAATTTTGTAGTGTTCAATACCTACATTTGCATTTAAAGAAAGCTAGGAATTTCCCAAAGGAAAATATAATAGTGTATAGTTTCTGGTTTACATTTAAAGTCATATTTACTTTTTGAAAATGAGAAAAAAAGTTAAATAAACTTTGTATAACAGAACTTTGGAATCACATTAGTTTAACTCCTGGCTCCGAAATTTATTAACTGTGTAAAACTGGATACGTTTTTTACCATCTCTGAATCTCAGTTTCTCAGTTATATAATGGAGCTAGTAACACACCATAGGGTGTTTTGAAGATCAAATGAAATAACATGTGTAAAGCATCTAGTACAAAACCTGTCACATAATAGATATTCAATTTTTGCTTTTATTATGACTACAGTTTTAGAAAGTAAAGGGAGGGAAGATTTCTAACATATGTTATATATGTGGTGTCTTGTGCAAATGTTGTCATGGAAGCTTTAGATCAGAAGCTACAGACACAATTGCCTGCGGTTGCCAGGAGATAATATGAATAATAAAGCAAACTGGAAGTAAATAATAGGGATCGGTGAGGACTATGTCAAAGTGAAGAACACATGTCTCATCGAAAGCTCAATGCCTCTACTCAGCTCCAGTTGATAGTTGCCAAAAGGAAATATAGGCCCAGAGTTGCCAGATCTAGAGTATTATGTGAAGTCTCCAAATTTTTAAGTGCTGACATTAGTTCTATTTCTTTTATGAAGCCCCAGACACTCCCAACAACACACAGCTTTGGGCCAACTTTGGTCTGTAAACTGCCAGGTTACGACCTCAAATCCAAGATGATTCCCAAGTCTCTGGCTTTATTAAAGTTTGATGCTAATCAAGAAAACAGGCAATACAGGAGAGTTCTCTGCAAAAGCATTTTGATGCTAGAGCATCTTATCAGATTGTATGAGGGATGCATGGATCTTACTTGTAATGGTTCTTGGTTGTAATGATCCCAGAATTAGGAACTGCCACTGTTCGTATCCACACAGTAAAACACAGTGCCCCTCCAGAACTACTCTGACTTGTTCTATCAGGGATTCTGGGAGAATGAGAAGGGCCAGTGCAGCTAGCTTGATACCCAAATCCTTGTATTCTCAGGGAAGGGCCAAAATGACTACTCCATAAAAATCACAACTGATATTCAGGAGCCTCATGCAGGAAAAGAATCAATTACTCTTTCTTCAAAAGAGCAAAGAAAATTCGTGACAACAGTTGAGTTAGACTATTTTCTTGAGGTCTGGGCTGAGACCAGTACGACCCAGGAAATTCCAATTTTAAGCTGACAACACAAGTAGTAGCCCATCCTTCATTTCCTCCCCATTGTAAAAATACCCCCCACTGAAGTAGAGTTTTTGGTACCTGGATAAAAGAGAGAGTAAAACACCCAGACTAAGGCTCACAAATATTGGTAAAAAGCCCTCATTATCCTAAACAGCAAACATCAAGGAAATCAAGAGTTAAGTCAGACTCACTTCATTTTAGGGAAATTTTGATAGTAATTAATTTAAGGATGCAGAAATTGAGAGCTGGGGTCATTGTTCGTACTGAGATAATACAGAAATATCTTTAAGGAACAGCAGGGGAAACAGAAGGGAAAAGAGAAGATTGCATTCACTTTCATGTAGTTTGTGGTTAATTTATTTTCAAATGTATAAATGAGTGCATAGGAATGGATGCTTAATTGCTAATATCTATTATTTATATACATTCCCCCACTTAAAATAGGATGGAAAAATCTCACCCATGCAGATTTTGTAAAATGTGTTACATCCATTAGCACAGTTCATGGTGTGTGCTCTGATGGGAATTTAAAAGAATCTTTACTGTACATCACACACTATGTGCTGCAACATTACTTTATTATGAAATCGTGGCTCATCCTGTGTGGTCCCTTTCCCGAAGAAAATGGATAAAGTCCAGAGCACTCTCTGTGTCTCGCTTCTGTTTCTCTGTTCTGATTGCAAAAGCATCCTCATGGATAATAAAACCAGGGATACACACGATCTTAGAAAACAGGCTCCTTAAAAAGAATCCTGAGACTAGACCTAATTGATGTATAATTTTGAATTTGAGACGTCTCAACCAGGTGGAAGAAGAAAATCGTAAATACAAGATACCTCAAAAGAATAGTCTTAATTACACCATGGACTACTGAATAAAATGATTACATTTTCTACACTGTAAATTTCATACAATTAAATGCAATAGTGTCACCTTATAAAATGTTTCAATTTTATAATTATTTCAGTTCATTTGCTCAGAAAAAAACATAAGCACAAATTTACTAAGTATCACCCAAATCTAGTCATTCTAGTTCTAAAGAAATGACTAGAACGTTAGTTGTGCTTGTCTGAACTTAAATAGATTTTGACATATTTAAGTAGCTATTAAAATTGATAACATCAGGGATGATACCCCAGCTAGAGAAAGGCATTCAGTCACACTTTATTTATTCCCATTCTACATTACAGACCTTTTTTTTAAAGAACAGAATGTTGGGGGAGTGGGAACCAATTTTTGTACTTTTTGACCAAAAACTTTCAGGAATCAGTCAGAGCCATTGTGTCACGAATCTTGTTATTACGTCAAATTCTGTGATAACACGTTAACCATTAACGTATTAGAATGCTGGGTTTGGGCCAGGTTCATTTTGCTTTCTTTTCTTTTCTTACTTTGTTTTGGGGTGAGAGGAGGGGAGATTGTGGTTTATGTGGGGTCACTTCTGGAAGAACCATATTCTTGCTACTTCAGACAATGATTCCCAAAGTAGCAGGAGGGACGTCTCTGGAGTTGAGGAATGCTACAGGAACTACAGTGGGCAGCTAAAGCTGCCTCTTGTCCTCCCTCCTCTGAATCCCAGGCATCATGGTGGCAAGATGGAAAGCCGGGAGGGCAAACTCAGGAATCACAGGACCGTGACCTCGAGGCTGAGCTCAGATACATTTGTGGAAACTCCTTGCATTGTTACCTTTGCCGCTATAATTAAACATGGTTCTTTCTAATGAGGCAGATTCTCTCTCTTAATTAGCTAATCCCCAGTTGTACATTTAGCACTTCTGGAGGCTGCATTAGTCCTTCAGTGTCATTAGGGTATCACTTAGCACATTAGAGCCTGATGTCCTAAAGGTACCCTAGGGGTGTAAAAAGGAAATGAAACAACCCTCAGAGGGTTTTTGTCAGGCTTCTTGCTCACAGCCAAATACCACTTGGGCTGTAAGGCCTGCAGGTCTTGGAGCCATCTTAAACCATCTTTAATCCAGTTTAAGAAAGTAAGAAGTGGGAACATGAGAAGGGCTCTCTGACAGCAGCAATTGGAACCTATGCCAGGATGCCAGGTGGTTCCATAAGGGAATTGAATATACAGAGAACTTGTCACAAAGGTTTTAGAAGATGTGAAAGCCAAGTAACGGAACAGTGAGGCCACCCAGAACTTAGCAACAATAAGAAGGCTCTGCCACCTCTTCCCTTTGTCCCTCTGGGTCACCAGCAGACCACTAGTACTGACATTAGCTCGTAGACCACTAGTAACTAACCATTACTAGACAGACCAATAGTAGGCAGCATTAGCAGCAGCCACAGAGAGAAGGGCATTCAGAAAGAGATAAAACCAAGGAGAAGATACAAATACTGCCAAAGACACCACTCAAAGCAGAGACAGGGAAGGAGATATACCCCAGGCTTTCCCTTCCTCCCACCCTCCCACTTCCTGTCGCTGCCTCTTTTTGACTGGAGCCAGCTAGAAGCCACTTGATGGGACCTGGAAAATAGACATTAGCAGTCTTGGGAATGCAGAGCGGAGCAGGGTAAGAGCAGGGAACGGAGGGAGAGCAGGCACTAGTAAGCCTGCAGCATCCTGCACCATGTTCCACCATGAATGCAAGCAAGTGTGAGTGTTGGGAAGGGCAGGCCAGCTTCAGAGTTAAGAGCTCTGGAGGAGACAGTTTGGGTTCAAATGGCGGCCCCACCACTTCCTGTGTTTCTTAAACTCTCTGCGTCACAGCTTCCTCCTCTATAAAACAAGAATAGTAATAGCACTCAGCTCAGGGGTATTTAAAGACCCATGTGAGATACATACAAAGGATGGAGGACTGCAAATCTGCTTTCCATGAAACAGTTGACACATATAACAATGGGAAAGAGAGCACGGGCTTTGGATCCAGAAAGACCTAGATTTGCATCCTTGCTCTAGCACCTTATAGTTGAAAGATTTGGGACAATCAGTGACAATCTCTGAGCCTTAGTCCTTTCATCTAAAAAATGGGGATCACTTTACTTATCTCTTATTATTCATTGATTCATTCATTCAACAAAATATATGGGTTTTTTGTGACTTGGGTTCTAGTAGAGGAGAAACTAATGAACAAACTAATTAATTTAATATCATCCTGTGGTCAGTGCCATAAAGAAAAAATAAAGCAGAGTGCTATGAGAGTTTCAGCAAGGATGTGATTTAGAGGAAAGTATTTTAAGCTAAAGACCCAAAGGTTGAGTAGGAGTTAGTCAAGTTGTGAGGGGAGAGTAAGAACACAGGCCAAAGATAGAGCATGTACAAAGGCCCTGAGCTAGGTGCATCACAGGAACTGAAATTTAGCCAGCGTGGCTGGAGTGCGGCAAGTGAGGAGGAGACTAGGACTAGAAGTCAGCGACATAGGCAGGAACCCGATCATACAGGGTCTTGCAGGCTATGGCAAGGATTTGGGACTTTAAGGGGAGAGTGAGTTGTTCTAATTTCTGATTAAAAATATCACAGGTGCTGAAGAATTTGAGACGGGCTCATGTGGAAGCAGCATCTTGGATAGGAGGCTATTGCTGTTGACCTAATGATGGCTGATGGTGCCTAGAACTAAGGTAGTGGCACTGGAGGGGGATGGAGGCTTATGAATTTCAAATACGAATTTGAAATAGAATCAGCAGAACTCAGCCAAGAATTGGATGAGAGGGTATGATGAGGAATTGAAAATGACAAGGAGTCCCAGCGTTCTGCGGAATTCATCTGAGTGCTCAGGAGCTGCTCACAAGGGAAAACCAGAGGAGGGGCAGGTTTGCGGAATGGGGGAAAGAGGGAGATTCGTAAGGCAATTGGGCCTTGGTGAGTGTGAGATGTTGGAAGACACTTCAGAAGAGATGTGAAACAGGCAGTTAGACGCATGGCATTCTCTTTGGTGGGGGCTGAGAGAAGGGGTGCTGATCATGGGCTATGACTGTAAATATCATGTTTATTAAACACTAAAGCCCCAAGAAATAGTGCAGGCAAAGGAAAATATACCCATTCAGGAGAATGAGAAGTCTAACGCTCCTTTCAAACAGTTGCAAATTTTCCCCTGAACTGCTTATGTTACTTTGTGCAAACAAAAACCAGCCATATGCAAAACAGTTTTGCCCACTTGTGTAGAATTATTTAATATGTCTTTTAGGAAAAACATGGGACACGCTTGAAAGTTTGGAAAAATCTGTTTTCAATTCATTAACGTGGCCGTGTTTTTTTGGGCAAGAGGCTCTACCTTTTATAACCAAATAAAAAGGACTGACTTATAAACAGAAAAAAATGGGCTCTATTCTCAAGTGCAAAATAGAGGTGGAAGGAAACAAATGCCAATTTGGCCAAAGGATTCGGCCAAATCATTTTTTTGTAAATAAAATCTACGGTACACATCAGAAGGAGAGCCTTCTAGAGTCTGCCAACCCGAAGAGACGTTGGCAAGAGGAATTGAACCAAAAAGTTATATGCCCTCAGGAAATTATAAGGCCATTTTACAAACAGGTTCCTTACACCCTGAAACACCAGCTTCTATCCTCACAAGTCACCCTGCACCCAACTCGACTCACCTCCAAACCAAACTTTCAACCTTGCATCTGCAAAGGACAGAATCTAGTAGGATCATTTTTCTATGGTCATAGCCTGTATAAGTCTCTTGAGCCTCCAGCCTGAGGGATCAGGGAGCATTTGCTTGGAATATTTTCTACTGAGACGCTCTTCTTTGCCAGGGGCTGCTATAGTAGCAGTCCTGGCATTGGTAAAACTTGATGAGGTTTTATGCCCCAGATCTTTGACCACCAACATGCTCTCTTCAGAAATGCATACGCAAAATAGAGTCTATATACTGTACTAACTCACTTCTGAATTTTTGTGGGTGTTTTGTGGTGACTTATGAGATATGGGTGAGTTGGCCACATGCTAGAAGCTGGCTCCAAGTGAATAAAAATACACCCCGTCTGGCAAAGAGATGAGTACATACATCATAGAGGTATTATGGAATATGCTGCCTAAACTATAAATACTGAGTAATGACCACAGCACCTGCAACAATATATGGCAATTAAAGTTGTCATAAAAGTCGTGGTGTGGTTCTTTACCATCAGCTTACTGCGAAGAAGGGAAAGGAGGGTGAAAGGCAGGGAGGGAGGGAGGAACCAAGGGAGGAAAGAAGATTCCTGTTCACCTAGATTCAGGACTCACTTTAGACCTTTGTACAGTGTTTTTAAAAGAAATTGAAATGGCTTTCTTTAAAATATTAGTTCCCTTATGGAGCAAGTTTTCATGTTCTCCTTTCTCTTAAAGATTAACAAGTATATGAACAATAAAAGAAAAAAGTTTTCTGGAAAATACCGTTCGGAGTAAATGAATTGGGCCCTAAGAACACTTGGTTGAGAGAGCAACATCTCTCCTGTGGGCTTGTACAGTCTCAGTGGGCCCAAGTTTGAAAACCAAAAGTTATTAACATTCTTATTGGGGAAAAAAAATAAATCCTTATGAAAGTCTAACTTGAATCAATTGATAAGCCTAACAGAAGGAAGAAATTTTGCTCCAATTCGTGCTAGAATGTTCAACCATCAACAATCTTGAGGATACTGGTTTTAATTAATTAGATGATATATCACGGGAACATTTACCTAGCCTTTTACGAAACCCTCACGTGTTTCGGAGACTTTTTTAACTTAAGAATAAAAAAAGAAAAGTTATAATTTTAACAAGAGAACTGCTACATCTTCTAACTAATTCCCTTTATGGAAACAAAAAATATAATAATTTATAACCCATCACAGCTGTTTGGCTTGAATTACCAATTACCTTCAATGCCTTAGAGATACTTTTCAGATTTTTACAACTGTGCATAGTAAATTTTTAAACCAATTTTCTTAAAGAGGATTGATAAGATTTATCCCCTTTTAGGCATATGATGACGTATTTCATTTAACTTGAATATAAAATCAAGGCTTTACATAACTGGAGAAAAAAAGAGACAGGGATTAAAAATAAAATATAATTAAAAAAACTATGATTATTTAAAAAATCGTTTATATTAGGTTTTGAAATACGTTTTTCACTCGCATTTGAATATGCGGCAGGTTTATGAGAATCCACATCAAACAAACAAGAAAACCTTGTGACAAGTAGCTGGAAATTTGTGCAGTCTCTCCTTGTCCCCAACTCTGATTGCTCCTGAAGGCTCCCTGCACCTGGGGGAGGACTTGCTGTTTTTCAGACAGTTGCAAGGTTTCCAGACAGGTGGCTAGTTGTGTGGCTTCCCTGCCAGCAAAGTAAATAAAGTTTAGAAAAGTGACAGCACTTTAAATAACCCGATTACATGGAATCAAGAGGAAATGCTCAGGAAGTTAATAAAGCAATTACTTAAGTAGAGTGAGTACTGGCATGGGGGAGGGGAGCTTGAGAGGGTAGCCGTGTACATTACCCCTAACATGGATAAATAATGGAGAGTTGGCTGTAAAGTTATCAAGCATACCACCACACACGCCTGCCCTTTGTAGACGCCCCCATATGTGCCATTATTAATTTTCTTTCTTCTTCTTTAAACAGAGGAGTGTGCCTCCCTTATCCTCACCTGTCTGTTTTGCCAGTTTTGGGACTGTCTCCTGATGCTCCCCGATATGTGCGAAACGGTGTGTACCAATCTGTGCTGCCCCTCTCACAGGTATCACCACACCTCGGATGAAAGCCACGCTCGGAACGATTGTAACTGTAACTGTGACGTGGACTGCAGCCTTTTTGAACCTTGCTACGAGACCAGCGAGTGTCTGGAGTTGGCCATGGAGATTTCAGAAATCTGTTACCGCTAGTGCCATGAAATAACCACGTTCTGACAGACCCTTTGGCCGAGCAGGGAAATTCCATTACAATGAGACTGTGATTTCCATGTGCTGATACGTAAGGACTGTACACATTTCTTGGATGCTCTCGACCATTTTATTCTGCACCTGTCTGGGAAAGCTAGTATTGTCAACTCAACGGTCTCATTCCAAATTTCACAACCGCATGGCTCACTGAAAAATAAGATCTTGATCACATGTGACGAACAAATCTTAAATACCTCTTAAATGCCATAGGTACAAGATGTTTCTTGACTATAAAACAGCATGCTAAACCACTCTGTTATTGCACTCATTGGCTTGCATCATGGATTCAACTTCATTCACAAATTCAGGACAAATTAGTGCATTCTTTTAGAATTGACATACATTAGCTTGTCTTTCTAATGGACTCATGCATAAACATTATGCATTGTTGGTTATTATTAATAATGTATTGTATAACATCATTTTGTAATTAAAAATTTATTTATACAGTCTCTTAAAATTCACTTATATGTACAGTTTAGGTAGGAAAGGGAATTAAATGAATTAGAAACCATGTTCCTGTAATTACAACAGATGTCTCTAAGACATCTCCAGTGAATTTTGAATATGATGTACTTTGAGAGAGTACTGTAATTCTAGACCATATTATTATATGTCTATGACTATGTCATAACAGGTTACGCATATTCTTAATTTGTTACAGAAAGGCTCTTCTTTATTCTAATGAGTATAAATGGGAATTATGTGCAAGTTTCAAGAAAATGACCCCAGATAATCAATTCTTCATTTTCCTCATTTCTGTCGGGTACAATAAGCAACAGGATATTAAAACAGAATCAGCTCATTTTACTAAACTTCATCATTTGTGTAGGCACCCAAAAGAAGGACATATGCAGGTACTTATTCAGCACTGACTTTCCTAATACAGCATGTGCTTCAGAAAGCATTTTTTTTTCTTTTTCTGATAAAGTAATGCATAATTATGTTAACCACTTCATATTTACAAAAATTTTTTTTCAAGATGTGATAAAAACTTGGAAAGTGATTTCCAACTCAAACAAATTAAAACAAGCAATTTGGGGGGGAAACAAATCTAGGTTGAAGTTACTCTGGAATCTTCTTTACTTTCTACAGGCATGACATTGCTCATTAATGTGTGCTTTTATATTCCCATGGAGATATCTCAATATATTCATTGAATATAAAAAAGTAGAATATATCAACAACCAAACAAAGAACACAAAAGTGAAGTGGGGAGTCGAGGGAAGTTTTTGCAATCTAGGCAAACAACAACAACAAATTACAAAATACCTGTTTTTGCCTGACTTGGATAATTTCAGGCAAAGGCAACATTTGTTTTATTTCTATAGTAAACTAGCACATTTTTCTACGCTGCAATAAATTCCTCCAAACATTGAAAACTAGCAGTCTTTAAAAAATATTTTTAAACTGCCTCTAAAAAGGTATTTAATTGCTCCTGGCTTGCTCCTGACAGCACAGTGCATCCACGGTTAATGCCAGCTTCGTTCCTGTTTGACTATCATGTTATTCACAAGCCACAGAGCATGAGAGTGTCCCACACTCCTTATGAAACACTTCAGTCTCTATGCTTTTCAGAAGCTCAGGGACAGCTCTATACTCTATGCATAGAACTTACAGATCATTAGGAGGGAAAAAAAGTAGATTCTTAGAACAGGAAGGGAACCTAGGGCTGTTCTTATGTAATAGTCTCATTTTTCATAAGAGAAAATAGAGGCCGCAGGAACTGACTTATCCAAAACCATGCAGTGAGCTAATGGCAGTGTCAGGAACTCTGGCAGGTAGTCTAATTTTCCAACTACACCACACCACTCCATAGCTCTCCACACAGTGGTACAACTGTTCCAATGGTTCAAATATTAAAATAGTTCCAAACTGGCTCATACACAGTTGCTACCTTGAACCTCCTTAGTACTTCCCCCGTGCCCCCAGACACCCTAGCCCCTCTCCTAGCTCCCCCCCCACCCCACTTTCCCATGGTCCAGCCACTAAAAGAACACCAGGACCTGCAGGGGGTCTCTGGGATCCTGTCCCAATAATATGGTACCTGGTGTCATTGATTAGGCCATGCCATACTGGTGTTAAACATTTTGACCATCATCCCCTTATCCTTTCTAATCTGTATACCCTTAAATTGTCCAAAGTTTATGCATTTCAAATGTGAATTGAATGCTTGTCAATTAGAGACATAAAAATTGCCAGGTCTTATTTTATAATGTGGTCAGACTACTACAAGATTGTCGTGGCCTCTCCACAGTTTGTTAACTTGTTCCCCACTTTCAGAATTCACCATGCTATAACGGAAAGGGTCGGTTATACAAAGTGTGAAATTTCTTTTCTTTATGACCAATAATAAAACATCATCCTTTTTGCAACCATGAATGGCTCTTTCAATTGAATTCTTACACAATAAAACATACACAGCTGGGAAAATGCAATTGTAGAGGTAAGATAGATGAAAAAGCAATGTGGTTATTGACTAAATACAAATATCAGAATCTGAGAAGGCTCGGATTTTTTTCAGCAATGATGAAGGCCTGTGATTACAAATAAAGATAATGTTATTCTTTAAGATGGGCTTCTTAGGGAACAGAGTACTCCTGTTTAAGGAAGAACACTGGACAAAAGAGATTTGAGAATATACAACCTTCATGGGGAATGGAGAACAGAGATTTTTTTCCCACAGCAATATAACCAGATAGTTACATTGTCTTTGCTTTGCTCAATGGATTTTTATAAAACCATTGCTCCTCTAAAACCCTACAAAATATGGAAAGCGATGAAGAAACGAAGTTACATTTAACTTGCTAATGAAATTTTCCCACTACATAAGCTGATAGGCCTACGAAATTAATTATCAATGCTGGACAAAGTTAATAAAGCGAAAGTGGCTTCAGTTTTTTCCAAGAGAGTAAGAAAACATATTCAGACAGGGAAACTTTACAAATAGAAACTGTGATGTGGATGCACATCAGCATATTTTTCTAACGATAAACATGTAGGTGGATATGTTTGAAGGACAGAATTCTTTATCCAATGCCTCCAAATCTCTCCCTCTATGATATGGAGCAAAAGAATAATACATACACTTACATGAAGTGGTTTGACTATAAGATTTTTGCCCATCACACGCTAAGTCCCTCCAGGCCACACAAACTGGTGACCTGTGAGAAAATGTAAGTACTCGGTTTAATAGTTCATTGGGTGTTCTTTGAATAAGATATCTGAGTTAAAACCTAAACAGTTGCCATATATAGCCTCATGTGAGCTGTTTAGAAAGGCAAAGTGAATACAGAATGATTTTCTAGCGATTAGAGTCAACACAGGACTAAAATTGTATCATTGGGCTCCTCTACAGAGGGAGACAGCTCTTCACATTACTGGGAGGGAGCCCAGAATGTAGGGAGGGGGTGAGCAGTGGAGGTAGGGGCAGGACCTGTATCATTATTTGGATAAAGGTGCCATCTTCTGGTCTACCATCTTTTTTTTTTTTTTTTT